GCAAACCCTTTCAACTCCTTCAGTCTTCACTCTAATTCCTCCATTGGAAACCACATGATCAGTTCAATGGTGAGCTGTGAGCATCTGCCTCTGAATATGTCAGACTCTTGCAGACCTCTAAGAAGACAACTATGTCAGACTCCTGTCAGCATGCACTTCCTGACATCCACATCAGCGTCTACCTTTGGTGACTGCACATGGGATGGATACCCAAGTAGAATGGTCTCCAGACGGCCCCTCCATCAGCTTCTGTCCTACACTTTGTCTCCATATTTGCTCCCTTGAGTATTTTGTTACTCCTCCTAAGAAGAACCGAAGCACCCTCGCTTGGTCTTCATTCTTTATGAGCTTTATGTGGTCTGTGAGATGAATCTTGGGTATTTCAAGCTTCTGGGCTAAAATTCAATAATCAGTGAGTGAATACTATGTGTGTTCTTTTGTGATTTGGTTACCTCACTCAGGACGATATTTTCTAGTTTCATCCATTTACCTAAGAATTTCTCGAATTCATTGTTTTTAATAGCTGAGTAATATTCCCTTGTGTAAATGTACCACATTTTTTGTATCCATTCCTGTTGAAGGACGTCTGGGTTCTTTCCAGCTTCCGGCTATTATAAATAAAGCTTCTATAAACATAGTGGAGCATATGTCCTTGTTACATGTTAGAGCATCTTCTGGGTATACGCCCAGGAGTGGTATAGCTGGGTCCTCAGGTAATGATATGTCCAATTTTCTGAGGAACCGCCAGACTGATTTCCAGAGTGGTTGCACCATCTTGCAGTCCTACCAACAATGGAGGAGTGTTCCTCTTTCTCCACATCCTTGCCAGCATCTACTATCACCTGAGTTTTTGATCTTAGCCATTCTGACTGGTGTGAGGTGGAATCTCAGGGTTGTTTTGATTTGCATTTCCCTGATGACTAAGGATGCCGAACATTTCTTTAGGTGTTTCTCAGCCATTCAAGTTTCCTCAGTTGAGAATTCTTTGTTAAGCTCTATATCCTATTTTTTAATAGGGTTATTTGGTTGTCTGGAGTCTAATTTCTTGAGTTTGTTGTACATATTGGATATTAGTCCTCTATTGGATGTGGGATTGGTAAAGATCTTTTCCCAATCTGTTGGTTGCCATTTTGTCCTATTGACAGTGTCCTTGCCTTACAGAAACTTTGCTATTTTATGAAGTCCCATTTGTCAATTCTTGATCTTAGAGCATAAGCCATTGGTGTTCTGTTCAGGAAATTTTCCCCTGTACCTAGGTATTCGAGGGTCTTCCCCACCTTCTCTTCTATTAGTTTCAGTGTATCTAGTGTTATGTGGAGGTCCTTTATCCACTTGGACTTCAGCTTTGTACAAGGAGATAAGAATGGATCGATTTGCATTCTTCTACATGTTGTCCTCCAGTTGAACCAGCACCATTTGTTGAAAATGCTGTCCTTTTTCCACTGGATGGTTTTAGCTCCTTTGTCAAAGATCAAATGATCATAGGTGTGTGGGTTCATTTCTGGGTCTTCAATTCTATTCCACTGATCCTCCTGTCTGTCTCTGTACCAATACCAGGCAGTTTTTATCACTATTGCTCTGTAGTACAGCTTGAGGTCAGGGATGGTGATTCCTCCAGAAGTTCTTTTATTGTTGAGAATAGTTTTCGCTATCCTGGGTTTTTTGTTATTCCCTATGAATTTGAGAATTTCTCTTTCTAACTCTGTGAAGAATTGAGTTGGTATTTTAATGGGAATTGCATTGAATCTGTAGATTGCTTTTGGCAAGATGGCCATTTTTATTATATTAATCCTGCCAATCCATGAGCATGGGAGATCTTTCCATCTTCTGAGATCTTCTTCAATTTCTTTCCTCAGAGACTTGAAGTTCTTGTCATACAGATCTTTCACTTGCTTGGTTAGATTCACACCAAGGTATCTTATATTATTTTGACTATTGTGAAGGGTGTCATTTCCCTAATTTCTTTTTCAGTCTGTTTATCTTTCATGTAGAGGAAGGCTACTGATTTGCTTGAGTTGATTTTATATCCAGCCACTTTGCTGAAGTTGTTTATCAGGTTTAGGAGTTCTCTGGTGGAAGTTCTGGGGTCACTTAAGTATACTATCATATCATCTACAGATAATGATATTTTGACTTCTTCCTTTCCTATTTGTATCCCTTTGATTTCTTTTTGTTGTCTAATTGCTCTGGCTAGGACTTCCAGTACTATATTGAATAGGTAGGGAGAGAGTGGGCAGCCTTGTCTAGTTCCTGATCTTAGTGAGATTGCTTCAAGTTTTTCTCTATTTAGTTTGATGTTGGCTACTAGTTTGCTGTATATTGCTTTTACTATGTTTAGGTATGGGCCTTGAATTCCTGATCTTTCCAAGACCTTTACCATGAAGGGATGTTGAATTTTGTCAAATGCTTTCTCAGCATCTAGTGAGATGATCATGTGGGGTTTTTTTCTTTGAGTTTGTTTATATAGTGGATTACATCGATGGATTTCCGAATATTGAACCAACCCTGCATTCCTGGGATAAAGCCCACTTGACCATGATGGATGACTGTTTTGATGTTATCTTGGATTCAGTTTGCTAGAATTTTGAGTATTTTTGCATCGATATTCATAAGAGAGATTGGTCTGAAGTTCTCTTTCCTTGTTGGGTCTTTGTAAGGTTTAGGCATGAGTGTGACTGTAGCTTCATAGAACAAATTGCGTAGTGTCCTTCAATTTCCATTTTCTGGAATAGTTTGAAGAGAATTGGTATTAGGTCTTCCTTGAAGGTCTGATAGAAGTCTGCACTAAAACCATCTGGTCCTGGGCTTTTTTTGGTGGGGAGACTTTTAATGACTGCTGCTATTTCTTTAGGGGTTATGGGACTGTTTAGATGGTTTATATGCTCCTGATTTAACTTTAGTACCTGGTATCTGTCTAGAAAATTGTCCATTTCATCCAGATTTTCCAGTTTTGTTGAGTATAGGCCTTTGTAATAGGATCTGATGATTTTTTTAATTTCCTCAGTTTCTGTTGTTATGTCTCCCTTTTCAGTTCTGATTTTATTAATTTGAATACAGCCTCTGTGCCCTCTGGTTAATCTGGCTAAGAGTTTATCTATCTTGTTGATTTTCTCAAAGAACCAACTCCTGGTTTTGTTGATATTTTGTATAGTTCTTTCTGTTTCTACTTGGTTGATTTCAGCCCTGAATTTGATTATTTCCTACCGCCTACTCTTGGGTATATTTGCTTCTTTTTGTTCTAGAGCTTTCAGGTGTGCTGTCAAGTTGTTAATGTATACTATTTCCAATTTCTTTTTGTAGGCACTTAGAGCTATGAGTGTTCCTCTTAACACTGCCTTCATGGAGTCCCACAAGTTTTGGTATGATGTGTCCTCATTTTCATTAAATTCTAAAAAGTCTTTAATTTCTTTCTTTATTTCTTCCTTGACCAAGTCATCATTGAGTAGAGCGTTGTTCAGTTTCCACATGCATGTGGGTTTTCCATTGGTTTTGTCATTATTAAAGACCAGCCTTAGTCTGTGGTGATCTGGTAGGATGCAAGGAATTATTTCAATCTTTTTGTATCTGTCGAGGCCTGTTTTGTGACCAACTATATGGTCTATTTTGGAGAAGGTGCCATGAGGTGCTGAGAAAAAGGTATATTCTTTTGTTTTAGGATGAAGTGTTCTATAGATATCTGTTAAATCCATTTGGTTTATAACTTCTGTTAATTTCAATGTGTCTCTGTTAGTTTCTGTTTCCATGATCTGTCCATTGCTGAAAGTGGGGTGTTAAAATCCCCCACTATTATTGTGTGAGGTACAATGTGTGTTTTGAGCTCTAGTAAAGTTTCTTTTATGTATGTGGGTGCCCTTGCATTTGGAGCATAGATGTTCAGAATTGAGAGTTCACCTTGGTAGATTTTTCCTTTGATGAGTATGAAGTGTCCTTCCTTAACTTTTTTGGATTACTTTTTGGTTGAAAGTCAATTTTATTTGATATTAGAATGGCTACTCCAGCTTGTTTCTTGGGACCATTTGCTTGGAAAATTGTTTTCCATCCTTTTACTCTGAGGTAGTGTCTGTCTTTGTCACTGAGGTGCATTTCCTGTATGCAGCAAAATTCTGGGTCCTGCTTATGTATCCAGTCCGTTAGCCTATGCCTTTTTATTGGGGAATTGAGTCCATTGATGTTAAGAGATATTAAGGAAAAATGATTGTTGCTTTCTATTATTTTTGTTATTAGAGGTGGAATTATGTTTATGTAGCTATCTTCTTTTGAGGTTGTTGGAAGATTACTTCCTTGCTTTTTCTAGGTTGTAGTTTCTTTCCTTGCATTGGCATTTTCCATCAATTATCCTTTGAAGTGCTGGGTTTGTGGGAAGATATTGGGCAAATTTGGTTTTGTAATGGAATATCTTGGTTTCTCCATCTATAACGATTGAGAGTTTTGCTGGTTATAGTAGTCTGGGCTGGCATTTGTGTTCCCTTAGGGTCTGTATGATATCAGTCCAGGATCTTCTGGCTTTTATAGTCTTAGATGAGAAGACTGCTGTAATTCTTATAGGTCTGCCTTTATATGTTACTTGACCTTTTTCCCTTACTGCTTTTAGTATTTTTTCTTTGTTTTGTGCATTTGATGTTTTGATTATTATGTGATGGGAGGTATTTCTTTTCTGGTCTAGTCTGTTTGGCGTTCTGTAGACTTCTTGTATGCTTATGGACATCTCGTTCTTTAGGTTAGGGAAGTTTTCCTCTATAATTTTGTTGAAGATATTTACTGGCCCTTTAAGTTGGGAATCTTCACTCTCATTTATACCTATTATCCTTAGGTTTGGTCTTCTCATTGTGTCCTGGATTTCCTGCATGTTTTGGGTTAGGAGCATTTTGCATTTTGCATTTTCTTTGACAGTTGTGTCAATGTTTTCCATGGTATCTTCTGCACATGAGATCCTCTCTTCTATCTCTTGTATTCTGTTGGTGATGCTTGCGTCTATCTCTTTCCTACATTTTCCATCTCCAGGGTTGTCTCCTTTTGAGATTTCTTTATTGTTTCTACTTCCATTTTTAGATCCTGGGTGGTTTTGTTCAATTCCTTCACCTGTTTGGTTGTCTTTTCTTGCAATTCTTTAAGGGATTTTTGTGTTTCCTCTTTAAGGGCTTCTACCTGTTTACCTGTGTTCTCCTGTACTTCTTTAAGGGAGTTACTTATGTCCTTCTTAAAATCCTCTATCATCATTATGAGAAGTGATTTTAATTCTGAATCCTGCTTTTCCTGTGTGATGGTGTGTCCAGGGCTTGCTATGGTGGGAGAACTGGGTTCTGATGATGTCAAGTAACTTTGGTTTCTGTTGGTTGTGTTCTAGCGCTTGCCTTTTGCCATCAGGTTAACTCTAGTGTTACGTGCCCTCACTGTGTAAGACTGGAGTCTCTCTTTCCAGTTATCTTGCTTGTGTCAGAACTCCTCAGAGTCCAGATGTCTCTGTGATCCTGTGATCCTAAGCTCCTGGGTGGAAGAACTGCTGAGACTCAGGCCACCTCTGGGATCCTGAAATCCTGCTGCTCTGAGTGCAATGGTTTCTCTAGGATGGTTCAGGATATGGTGTCTTCACAGGAGCAGACCAGCTAGGTGTTCACTGGTCTGAGTGGAGTGACTCCTCTAGAATGGCTCAGGATATGTTGTCCACTGCTCTGTGTGTAGCAGCTCCTCTAGGATGGCTCAGGATAAGGTTTCTCCACAGGAGCAGACCAGCTATGTATCTGCCCCAGCCAAAAGGACCAGGTGTGGGGTGGAAAGGAAGTAGTATTCAGGAGGGGCAGTGTTTGGGTGGCTGATGATTCCTGAGCACCCTTGGCTCCCAGTTGTAACCCTGGGGCGTAGGGTAGTGGGAGACATTTCTTACCCACTGCTCTGAGTGCAGTGGCTCCTGTAGGATGGCTCAGGATAAGGTGTCTCCACAGGAGCAGACCAGCCAGGTGTCTGCCCCAGCCAAAAGGACCAGGTGCGGGCGCATGGGGCCTTTAAAGAGTAGAACAGGAATTAAAGCATTAGATCATGTGTGAAAAATTTTGCTCCTGAAGAATGAAAATTACAAAGGACACACCCAGATAAGAATAACATATCTCAAAATGAGCCATTTCAGGGGTTCTGACTGGTCAATTAAAGATCCTACTAATCACACCAGGCCCCATCACGACCCACCCCACCCTGCCCTGCCCCATCACACTCCAACACACCATACCCCACCCTGACATGCCCCTCTCTGCCATGCCGCCACCATCACCCCAGGGCAAGCACCAGTGTCTTCTCTCTGCCCCTCTCCTACCTGCTGCTCTCTTTTCCACTCTCTTCCTCTCATCTCTTCTGCTTTCATCTTTTCTTTTATTCAATTTGATTATATAATTACAAATATATATGTAGTTTTTCAGACTCTCATGTACCAGTAACCTTTCCAAAACCATTAACATTTTAGAGTCTTCAAAACAAAATCATATTCATATAGTGCAGATATATAGATAGATATAGATATAGATAGATATAGATATAGATATAGTATAGATATAGATATATGCATGCATATACATACATATATACATACACACACACATACACATACATATATATATATATATATATATATATATATATATATATATTTATGTTCTCTGAGCCACACTTAAAGCACAACATACTATGAACATAACAACCACTACACTATAGAAAGAGCAGAAATACCACCTGTGTCAGACTAAATGTGGCCTGTGGGATCCCTGCACTTGGACTACCTACATACGGAGTTGTAACTTATGTTTAACTGAATGCCTAAAACTCAGCTCACGTAGAGTTAGGGTGTCTGCTGCTGGTGTTGTCTTCAGCCCAGATCCCAGAGATTCCAGGATGTGGGAGAGAGGGCCCTCTTCCACAGAAGAGCTTTCCAGGTCCCTGGGTGGGCTTGGCTGCCATCTGGTGGCAATGGGGCTACTAGCCACAGGAATCTCCGCAGATAGCCTGTTCAACGAAGCTGCTCTTGAAGTTGGAGTATGTTGTGGCAACAGAGTCAAACTCCTATTGAACAACAATGACAGCTGTGAGTTCTAGGGGGCTTAAAGATGCAAAAGGTAAAACTCTTTCCAATGGTATCATCTGTTGTTTATCTAGAACACTGCTATCTATATATGCACATGAAATTTAACACTGGTGACTCTGAAAATTTTTTTCTATTATTTTTTTGAAACACCAGAACATCATTACATAATCCCTGCTTCCCATCCGTGGTTTTTAGATATACCCAAACAGTTTAGAGAGTGATTCTATCTGACTTATCTTCATTACAGATGCGTGCAAATAAAGCGTGTATAGAGACTCTGTGCTGAACACTGTCAATCTCCCTCAGTCTTCTGGCTGGCTCTCTGGTTTAGAGTTTGGCAGACTAAGCCGGCCATGTCTGTGGTCCAGATCCAGACAACAACTACACTCCCAACCATGCCATCTAAAATGGCGGAGACTAAAATAAGGAGGGGCTGCCATACTGGAAGGAAGGTAGTCACTCTTGTTCAAAACTTCCTTGGTTTTCTAGAATCTAAATACGCATTTTGAGACAAAATCATTTTGAGTTTAAAAGAGGGAGGGAAAAAGGCAAATCTGACAGTATGCCATATGAGGAAAGTGACCAAAAAGTTTCACGCTGGTAGTCACACTGTGCCGTGACATGGCCACACTCCTCTGACTTGGCAACTGTCGCTCTGTCCATCTTGAACGAGTCCCTCTTGGAATCTTGTCCAGGACTCTCTGCTGAGGTAACCACTGGCTCACATCCTCAGCTGGATTCACCTACAACTCCTTCAGGGACCTGCCTGGAACATTGCCTGTCTGTTCTACACTGGATTAGCAGCCTATTGAGTCCAAGTAATGGTCCCCCAGGGTTGAAGATCCCAAACTCTGCCACCTATCAATGTCATCTTCCACAGCAAAGAGGCTTTGCATGTGAAGTCCCCACACAAGGTACCAATATGAGTAAGCCTCAGATTAGCTTTCATGATTTGGGGATACTAACCCCGTCATCCTATTGAGGCCTAAATACCATCCTTTGCCTCAATAAGATGGTTTGAAGAAGATGATCCAAGAGGAAATGACACTGTGCCCACAGAGCAGATCTCAGCAATAACATCCACAGCCAGAAAATGCTGACCTTCACCAGAACTGAGAAGCACAAGGCCCCAGATGAGTCCCTGGAGGAAGCAAAGCCCACTGACATTTGTCAACTCCCCTGTGAAACTGGCCTCCAGCCTCCATGATTGCAAGAGAAGAAGGATGTATTTTAAGCGACAGAGCTTTGAGTGATTTCTTCCACAGGAGGCTGATGCACAGCGCCTGATGGCCTTCCACAGCAACATAGTACCAACAATAGACCATGCTATATTAATAACACTTCAAATATAGCCAGCAGTCAGACATACGAGTTAGAGAGCGTGTTTCATCACTATCTTCATTTAAGCTGGTGCCTTTCTCTGTGGCTTCCTCTTTCTTTTGGTCCTTTTCCTTCAACCACTTCAGGAAGCTGTCTCAGCTCTTAGAGTACTTGATATACTCAAGTGGCACCTTAACTCTATCTGCAAGAACCTCGCCCTTAACCTGCTTGTTTACAATGATGCCCACACTGTGCTGGGTGACGTTGTAGAGTCTTCTAATTTTTGCCCTGGTTTTGAGGCATTGTTTTTTGAATGATGGCCATTAATTCCCTTGATATCTACAATATCATCATTCCTGCAGATTCGCATGGGTGGGGCCAAAGAAACAAATCCATATTTCCTAAAAGGCCTAGAGGACATATAGCAAATGGCCCTCTGTTTGTCATCTATTAGAGAGTTACTGGAATATGGCTGCTGAGGCTAAAAGCAATGCAGTTTTCTTTAAATCAGTACAATCACTTAAGTCCCCTTAGCTTAGAGCCAGTGCTGCTCTTGCAGACCAGTGTTCAGTTCCCAGCACCTACACTGGTAGGCTCACAACCACCTATCACTTCAGCTCCAATGGATCTGATGCCTTCTTTTGGACTTCAAGGGCACCTTGAAGCATAAATAATGTGCATATAATATATGTACATATATATATATATATATATATTATAGATACAGACATGTACACACAATTTTTTTTTTGGTTTATAGAGAGACAGGGTTTCCCTGTATAGTGCTGGCTGTCCTGGTACTCACTTTGTAGACCAAGTTAGCCTCAAACTCATAGAGATTCTGAGTGCTGGGAGACACTGTGTTCACCACCACAGCTGGCTAGAATACTCTTTAAAACAGAGAAATCATGTCTAGACTGAGAAAGCAAAATCTCACTGTTTCTGGAATAGTCAGCACTCAACTGAAGACTGCTCTCGGGCTCAGAACTGTGCTTTAAGGAGGGAGCTGGTCAATAGAGAATGCATACACTGATACGTTTATAAAACTGGACACTGTAAAATGAGTACAAACTGCCCCTCCACACAATGAACAGCACAAGGCTTATAAGGAAAACAGGAAATAGACAATATTATTTCATTTAAGTACAAGGACAGGAGAAACAAACACCTATTTCAGGATGTACTTAGGTGCTGTACACCTAACGGAGAAAAGAGGGGAGGCATCACTGCACCTGGGGTCGGGGGTAGGAATGTTCCATTTCTTGACCTGGCAGGTATGCCCAGCCTTTTGACACTGTGACACAATACTATCATCTACGGTATTCATTTGTGAGAAGCATTCAATCAAATAAGGGGAGGACAGTGGGAAAAATCAATCACACAGTGGTTTAGACAAGCTTAGAAATTTGTGTTAGGCCATTTTCATGGTTAGTCTGGGCTGCAGCTTGGACATGGTGAGTAGAATACTTGCTTTGGGGGATTAAAGTGGGTAGGTTCTCACTACATAGTCTGGCCAGCCTTGAACTCCAGACTCCAGGTCCTCCTGCCTTTGTCTCCCCAAAGCTGGGATTACAGGAGGGTTTCACAGCACTTGGCCAGAATCTTTTCTCCTAATGGTTTTCATTATACTGTATATCCATTGTATAAACTTTTCAGAATGTTTTAATATTTCAAAATAAAAAATACAGGATGAGGAAGATGAGGAGAAGGAAGAAAAAAGAAAGAGGGAGAAGACATATGTATACACCAGGATTCAAAGGCCAAGTCCACTGGGAGGACAGGGTCCACACGAGAGAGGCTAAGATGAACTTCTAACAGCAGCTGCACCCCAGCACGCGAGGCTCTGTCACATGCAGGAAGGGAAGCCGGAGTGCCAACCCAGAAGAAAGAAGATGCAAAAGGAACTGTCAAATGTTTAAAGAAATCCAAGTTATGAAAAGAAAAGAAGCTTATTTTAAATTGTCCCATTGCCCAAACCTGGACCAATGAAAGGATGAGGCAAATTTTCACTCAATACAGTGATCTTCCCAAAAAGAGCACAACTGGCTTTAACCTAATGAATAAAGTATAGCTTGTCAGCCAGTCCTTCCACTGGGAGTAGAGCTAGGTATTCAATGTAATCTTTTAATGTTTTAACCTTTCAGCATTAATATAAAATTTACTCATGCAAAAAAAATGAATCCAAGTAAGGTAAATAAACATATTTACATTAAAATATGAAAGCAATAAGAAATGATATGCAAATATAGAAAACACAGAGGTGGCACGTAGACACCCCTGGCTGTGGGCTGCACTACTTCATCTTTGATGTTTTTAAGCTTTTGTTTCAGGACCTATCTCCTGCTAAGGAAATGCCTGTCGCATAGTTGTAAGTGACTCAAGTATTTATTAATAGAGAGGAAGAGGAAGATAAGAAAATGAGACAAAGGAAGGAAAGGGACGAAGCCATGGGCTCAGCTTGTCCACCTTGAGTGGCTACATCGTGGTGACATTATGCAGAGAGGAATCCGGAGCCCAAGATAAATAAAAAGGAACCTAGAGAGGTTAAAAATAAGGTCAGGAAGTCACAGAATGAAGTGCTCAAGAAAACAGAAACAAACAGGTCTGGTGACAAATGATCTGACACACAAATATTTGGTGGGTGAGAAAATCCTGTAAGGTCCAGAAAAAGCAATGTCAGTTGGTGATGAAGGTTTGCAAGAATCTCATGATGGTGCACACAAGATGGCTCAGGACTGAGTTGGATCCCCAGGACCCACATGGTAGGAGGTAACTGATTCCTACAAGTCATCCTCTGTCTCCACAAGTATGCCATGACATGTACACACAGATTGGTAGGTAGGTGATAGATAGATAGATAGATAGATAGATAGATAGATGCAATTTTAAAAGAAAAGGAAAGAAGGAAGAAGGAAAGAGAAAAATACAAAGAAGATCTCATGACAAAGACAGCAATAACAAAGATGGTTTCATGGCTCTAGTGCACACCCCACTACCACCCGATCTCACCCTGCCACACACCAGCCCCACCTAATGAAGTGGCATTCTAACCACAAGACACTTCAAAAATCAGAGTCTCAATACTGTATATTAGTATTGGGACCTAAATACCAAACTGAGCTGATGAGATGACACAGTGGGTAAAGCACTTTCTGTGCAAGCCTGGGACCTGAGTTCAGTCCCCAGAACCCACATAAAGGTCGAAGAGGAGAGACAACTCTGCAAAGTTGGCCTCTGACCTCCACATCCATCATGCCGTGATGCAAATGGACAGAACATATATCATGAACACACACACTAATTTTTCAAATGATAAAAGATGTCAACACTCCCTACGCCTTTCACATTCTAGTGGAAAATATAACTGAAACTGAAACTGTCAGTATTCTATTGATAAAGAAAATATTTTTTAAAAAATTATTTTGGATTTTCACCACAAAAGACATGTACATCATGAATTAAACATCACACAATATATTTATGTATTAAAACATTTCTTGATGACCTATAAGTGTGTACAATTTAATGTTTTTATGTATCAATTTGTAAAAGGTTTAGATAAAAATTATCCTTCTCGTTTTCTAACAGGAATTATCTGTTGCTCTCATCACCCATGCCTGTTACTGGGGCGTTCTTAGCCTCCATCCATCCTTGAGGTCCTTCTAACACATTTGGAAACACTGCTTTCATGAAGTCTCTGCTTTATCTTGACTTGCTGCTCTACAGACTTTCTGCAACTCCCTCCATATGACTTGGGGACACATGGAAATGCTTTCTTGTTTTTCTGTATTCCCAGACTCTTTCCACCCTTATAGGAACTTCTTAGAAAGCTAAAGGTCTCCTGGTGAGTAGAACTCCTTCCAGACTGCTGGAGCAATCTTGCCTCCTATATTGTCTCCCACAAACACGGTTTAACTATTACAAAAAAAAAAAATGGTGTCCTGCAAATCAAAGAATTCTGGTTATGAAGCTGAAAGTGTTAAACTCTATTCTTGATTACTGCATTCACTACTTCTTTGATCTTAGCTGAGTTAACTCCTTCCTATAGTGTGTGTGTGTGTGTGTGTGTGTGTGTGTGTGTGTGTGTGTGTGTATGTATGAGAGAGAGAGAGAATGAGAGAGAGAGAGACTTCTGTAGGGTCATCCTTGCTGCCTTCTATTTCCACTTCTGGCATGTCCCCAGAACACCATAACTGAAGTTCAGTTTGTCCACAGCTGGTTCCTCTGCTGGAACTTTATTCACATGCTTTGCAGAGACTGAGATGGCCAACGAACCACGCCAATCACCTCATCCTGTGTTGACTCCCTAGTTTCCCTGACAGCCATCTCAGCAATCCCTCCTCCCACTTAGAAAACCTTCCTTAACCTGCTAAGACTGGTGAGTTTTCTAGACCATTATCCCTCTGCAAAGAAATGTACAATACATGTTATTTCTGAGAAGAGCCTAGTGTGGGCAGAATATGTATATAATAGTGACAAATCCCCATATCTGAGAGATGATATCAGGTCATGCACAGAGAACCCCTGCCAAATCTGTGTTTATCCCACACTGTCCAGGGCAAGAGTCTGCTGAACTGTTGTGAATGTTTTATCAGAGGGCCTGCCTAGAAATGTATATGACGTGGTTTTAGAATCTGACTTTCCCAAACCTTAAGGGGCAATAAATTAACACGCTGGCTCTAAGTTTATCCTTGACAAGATATATGCCCTTGCTATTATGATGCATTGTAACTAGATGTGGTGGTTTCCAGTTGTAGTCCCAGCACTCTATAGGAAGCTGAGTCAGGAGGATCAGAGGAGCTCACAATCTCAAAGTCGGGATATCATGGCAAGATCCCATTTCTAATAGTAATAATAATAATAATAACAACAACAACAACCAGCAAAATGCTTTGCCTTCACACCGAAAAACCTGAGTCCAATCCCCAAGACCCACATGGCAGAAGGAGAGAACCAACTCCTACAGACTGTCACCTGACCTCTGCAGATGCACAGTGATGCTCGGATATTCATACACAAACATACATATATACATACATACACACACATACATACATATACATATTCACACACAAAAACATGCATAGATGATGGTAGATGTAACATTTAACTAAATAAAGTTTTAAAAGTGTTAATCTACAGTAAACTTTCATATCAGAACAGCATGTGCCTCAGACCTAAATGATTGCTTACCTATCTAGTCTGCTGGCATGTACTGAGACTGCTTGCAAGTTTAAACAGTAGGACTCTAGCCTTTTCAGACCCGCTCTACTCTGGATCAGTTGGTGAGACTCTGTAGAAGAAAATAGAGCAACTATTTTCTCAAAATAGTATCATCCTATATAAAAAGTCCCTGCCCACAGAGTGGCGCATCAGCACCCCCACAAAGATAACCACTTCGCTCCCTATCTCAACGTGACGAACCACATGGTGCAAACTTTAGCAGTTCTTCTATAGGTCACCTTTTTGGAGACCGAGTTCCCCAGACTGATAAACCAGACAAAGGTCTTTATCCACAGAGACAAGGCATCCATCCTTCCTGTAAGGCTCTAGGGCTTCCGTGTGCATGCATCATGAGGTGATACTACAAAGAATGGAAATTCTTTGGGACTGGGGAGATGGTCCAGCAGTTAAGAGCACTGACGCCTCTTCCAGAGTTCAATTCCCAGCAACTGCATGGTGGCTCATAACCATCTGTAATGGGATCTCATGACCTCTTCTGGTCTGTGTGAAGACAGCCATAGTGTATATTCATATAAATAAAATAAATAAATCATAAAGAAAAAAAGGATGAAAATTCTTAGTCAGGAGGTCTCGGGTAGGTGGAGGTGATGTAACAGGTCAGGGTCCCACCTGGAGAGTGAGGCCAGAGTGGCTGAGTAACAAAGGAATGCCGGGACTTGGTGGGAGGCAGGGCCTTTGAACAGTTCAACCAGACACCAGCAGAGGAAAGCTAATACTCTTAGGAACTGATTGGTTTCTGGGTAGTTTTGTTTTTCACTGGAAATATGTTCTATATTTAATATAGAAGGGAATATTTTCTACATGGTTGTGTGTGTGTGTGTGTGTGTGTGTGTGTGTCCATTCTTGTTCATTTGGGCAGTGGTAGTAGAAGTGAGGAGGAGAAGGAGGAGGAGGAGGAGAAGGAGGAGGAGGAAGAGGAGGAAGAAGAAGAAGAAGAGGAAGAGGAGGAAGAAGAGGTGATTGGTTGGTTGCTTTCAATTTTTTTTTGTTTTCCTTGTTTTTATTTTCGAGACGGGCTCTCTCTCTCTCTGTGTAATCCTCACTGGAGACAGAATCATGATTCCCCTGCCTCAGCTGCCACAGTGCTGGGATTACCAGCATGCACCACCATGCATGTCCAGCTCTGCTGTATCTGTCCTTATCCAGCCACGGGGGAGGAGTGAAGTGGTTTCTCTTGCTGGCTTTACCTAACTTTAAGCCTAAACTACCTTTGTTCAGCCACATCCAACCTCACACACATCAGAGGCTGTGGCTCAACCACACTCAACTTCACACACAACAGAGGCTGGGGCTCAACCACACCCAACCACACACACATCAGAGGCTGGGGACAGGCACTCTAAAGCACCCAGAGCAAGAGAAAACCAGTGCCTCAGCCCACTCTAGACTGCCTGGAAATGTGAAGTGCCACCAAGTGGATGGCATCTCAGACCAAAATGTCCTGTGTGGTAAACAAGCAGATCCTAAGGAGACTGGGGGATATGCAACCCTCAACCGCCTCCAGTTTCCATCCCCAGTAACTATGATCTTTGGAGCAAAGGCCCTGTGTAGAGAGCGATAGCCAAAGAGGAAAGAGATGAAAGACACAGCAGCTAGTGAGTATCTGCATAGATGTAGGTTTGCAGGTTTGGTTTGGGGTTTGTGCTTGAGTTCTGATATTTAAATATTTGAATTCTGCTGTTAAGGTTCTCTGCCCAGGATTATTTCATCTACAGTTTAGAATCCATTGACAAGTCATTTTCATAGGTCAGAACCATGCTGTCTCAGAAGTGCAATGGACAGATTACAGAGTACTCCAAAGAACTATTTCATGAAATTTTTCAATGTGTGTGTGTGTGTGTGTGTGTGTGTGTGTGTGTGTGTGCCTCTATGTGTGTATCTGGGGCAGGGGTATCTGAGTGTACATGCACATTTGGTTATGTCGTAAAGTATCTTGCCAGTGACGAAGACAAAACTGACGAAGACAAAAGCTGCTATTGTTTCTGATAGAGAAGGGGTGTTGCGCCTTTATGGCTTTCTATTTTTGCTGTATTCTCCTGGCATCTGGTTGCCTTCATTAGATGAAGTCGGAATAAATAGGATGACCTTTTCCAACCTTCATTGCTCTATTATAAATTCTTTATATTCATATAGTACAGTCAATAAATACATAAAACTTTTAAGTCCTTTGTGGTCACACATCATATTAACAGACCACATTAATCCACACTCTAAACTATTCCTGTGTGTTATTTAGTCCTCCATACCTAATCCATTGCTCAGTGAACTCACAGGATGCTGAGCAGGCCGATAACCACTCATTTCCAAGTTACAAGAGCACCACCTTCTGGTGAAACGTTTTCGTAGACGGGGGGGGGGGGGCGGTGCATCTTAAGGATCTGCTAAAACGATACGAATTCTTCTATCCAAAAAAAGTTAAGGTGCAGCCACGTTAACAAATATGTTGAAATTTTTTGAGTTTCCGACTTCATTTGATTCTTCTGGGAAGGGTCCTCCTGCGATGAAGCAGCTAAGGGGTCTGTAAACCCTTCCGGTTCTCCTTAAGCTCCGCGGGTTTCAAGTTACAGCCCCTCCTTGAATTCCAGCCTGCTGAGACTCCCAGAATCGTCCAAAATGGAGCCTCTCGGTGCCTACCCACTAAAATGTTCTGGGCCCAAAGCAAAGATATTTGCAGTTTTGCTATCTATGGTTCTGTGCACCGTGACGCTTTTTCTCCTTCAGTTAAGATTCCTGAAGCCGAGAATCAACAGCTTCTACTCCTTTGAAGTGAAGGATGCCAAAGGAAGGATGGTGTCTCTGGAAAAGTTCAAAGGCAAAGTAAGTCTTCGGGTTTTTATTTCTGTTGTTTCTCGGCTCAGATACTTATTCTCACCGTAGAATAGGGTTCGTTACAGCTGTAAGTTGGAATGTAGTCTTCAAAGTAATATCGTTAGAGGTCCTTTTAGTTACCAGAGTTGTAAGAGCTTTAAACTTCCAATCCATGACACGACTGTTTTTCTCGAAAGCT